TTTTTTTTTTTTTTTTTTTTTTTTTTTACAATATAATGAAAATATTCGAACTTCTGACCTTTTAAGACCCTTAAAATCACGGTCTCTAAATTGGAAATATATTCTCTGTTGCATGTCCCGACCGTGTTTAAGTTTCTAAATATTAAATTGACTCATAATTTTAAAACGTATCTATTAGGGTGAAGTTTCTACACCTCGTAGACCCCGATTGTGTTTAGGTTTCTAAATATTAAATTGTAACAACTCAAGTCTCAGTGAATTTGGGATCTCACAATCCACCTCCTTGGAGGCCCAGTGTCCTCGCTGACACGCTGCCTAGTGTTTGGCTCTGATACCAATTGTAATAGTTGTAGCTCGTTGCTAACAGATATTGTCCGTTTTGACTCATTACGTATTGTCATTAGTCTCATGGTTGCCCAACGTCATCGCTAGAATACCACTCGGTGTCTGACTCTAATATCATTTGTAATAGGGCAAGTTCACTGCTAGCAGGTAGTATCCGCTTTAGCTCGTTGCATATTCGTTATAAATCTCACGGTTTTAAAATGCGTCTACTAGGAAGGTTTCATTCACTTCTACAACAGACGTGAGATCTCATATAAATGATTTTTTTTTTATTAGTTTAAATAAAGTGGGAATTGAACCATCGAACTTTGAAGGTGACGATTAATATCTTATTTATTGAACTATATTCAAATTTACTTGTGTACATACCGACACGAAAAACCACGGTTGGTCGTGGTATCGTCAAGCGCTAGATTTTCCCCTCATCATCGACTTACTTTTGGATCTTCCTTCTTTTCACATTGCTATCAATCTCCATTCCAATTTCGGCGGAGAAAGGCAATCAAGCTCACTATGTGGGCACCAGCTTGCTAGCATCCATCGTTATTTGGTCACCTCCACTAACTCCGGCGACAGCACCGCCTTGTCTTCCGCCGCCAGATCCGGCCTAATTATCCAAAAACTTTATTCCACTGTTTGCAAGCGCCATGCAAATCCCTTTGATCTTATGCAATTTGAAGTAAAAAACAAAAGTAATTAAAAAATTAGCATAAAATAGAGGTTCGTGTTCATAATAATCTGCGAGTTACGGAGTTGACCTCTTTCCTTATTCAAGAAGGTGAACGAACCGGAAGTCAAGACTCAAGCAAGAGAAACCCTTCCGAGAGGGCAAATGGCTGGCTTGTTGGTTTAGTATAAAAAAAACGTCTGAACTCCCTGATTCAACGAGGGTTCGTTCGGGGCAAAATAGTGGTACAATACCACTCTTATCATTCGGCAACTAAAGAAAGACCGAGTAGTATATGGGCGCCCACGACCTCACATTACGTCTTCATCCTATACTCATGAGTCCGGGTTGACCTTAGGGTGTCTCTCATGCCACTGCAGAATTGGGGGTCGCAACAACTTTGACCATCTTCTCCATTGTTGTCACATTTATCTTTACAATTTGTTGTATGGGTACACACGAGTTAGATGGAGTTGACTTGAATAAATCTTTTGGACTAATAAAATTTTTTGGGTTGATGATTCGAACAACCCGAATAGAGTTCACAACTGAATCTAACCCATCACAACCTTCTATTTTTGGGTTCGGTTGAATTGAGTTATCGAGTTGTTTTTATTAAATTATTTTAAAAAAATTATACTTATCTACGTGCATGTTACATTAATAACTAAAATCTTATAAAACTTAAATATCAAACATTCACAAGTCAAGTATTCATAATTTTTTTACGTTCGAGTCAGTCAAGTTGACTCAGCAAAGAAAAAGTCAACTCGCAAATTGACCAAAATTTTTTATTTTCCAAAATTTCAATTAAAAATAAAAAAAAAATCTAACCCAACCCAATCTTTATAGTTTGAGTTTGATTTGGGCCGGGTAGTTCGAGTGGGTCGGATTCTCAAGTCATTTAAACACCTTAAATTGCTATCCCGACCGCCATACTACCCATTTTTTCTATTTGTTGCCGACAATATTTTTTCGTCGAACCATCTCAATACCTTAACGTTAGTCTCTTGTATATTTCAAAACCAATTTTTTGAAGTAATATTAAAAAATTTAGAGATAATTTATAGGATATAATATTTCCATGCCAAACTAAAATAATTTTTAATTTAAAAATATTATTAAAATTAAAAAATACAATTATTTATTTTAATAATTTAGCATAAATAAATTGTTGCATCAACCACCTTTTTCTGTCATTATTTCACCTATAACCATTTAATAATTAATTATTTCTTTCATATTTGACTATACTCATTATTTTTTTTATTCAACTATAATCATAAATTCTAGCCGTTTTCAATTATTCAAAATTAAATAAGATAAAAATAATATCATTCATGTAAAGAAATAAAGTTTAAATTTAAAGACGAGATCTAAGACATTCAAACCATGCTCGAGATGCTTGCTTAACCCAGAAATAGACGTAAAAAGCTTACCAACTTCATTTGACAAGATCGTTACATTTATATGTGAGGACGTATACTACTATAGAAGACGTTTTTAATATCTAGTTGCTTCAATTTGTTGCCAAGTTGAGCGATCAGAGATAAAATAATACGTATTATTGGCTTCCTAGTAGCTGGAGGACGTGGATAATCTTATAAAATTTAATTTAATTAAAAAAAAAAACACACAAAAACCATGACTATAGCACAATGTTTTGTTAACAAAATAATAAATAATGCAAATAAAATTAATTTGGATTTTTGACTTTAAAACAGAGTACTAAATATCCATCATGCGCCGCACTATTACGCGTCATACTCCTCTCCCGCAGACAATAAATACCCTTTTCTCCATTTTCTTCCTCTCCACGCACAAAATTGTGATTATGGCTCCCATTTCTCTCCTCCTCCTCCTCTTCTTCTATTCTTCAATTCACACTCTCACCGCCGTTGTCGCCACCGCCACCACCGCCGCCGCCGCCAGGAACCTTGCTTTCTTAGACCATCCCCTGGATCTTGACTCCTTTCCCTTTGAATACCACGGCGGGCGACTTCTTTCCGGCAATATAACCATCAATCTCATATGGTACGGCAATTTCAGTCCCTCCCAAGAAGCCATTGTCGGCGATTTCATCGCCTCCCTCTCTGCTTCCAAATCGGCCATTTCCCGGCAGCCCTCTGTTTCCACTTGGTGGACCGCCATTAACAAATACTATAATCTTGCTCGGAGTTTCAAGAAATCCTCCCGTTTTTTAATCTCCTTGGGTTCTCAGATTCATGACCGGAAATATTCCCTTGGGAAATCGCTAACGAAGCGTCATGTTCTTGCTCTGGCATTGAAGGGTCGGCGGAAATATGCCATCAATGTGGTTTTAACGGCTGCGGATGTCGCCGTCGATGGATTCTGTTTTAACAAATGTGGGTCACATGGGGTTTCCGCCGGAGCTCCGATTCAGGGGAAGCGGTATAAGTTTGGGTATATTTGGGTGGGGAATTCGGCGACTCAATGTCCGGGGCAATGTGCCTGGCCGTTTCATCGTCCGGTGTACGGTCCACAGAATCCGCCGTTGGTGTCGCCGAATAAGGATGTGGGAATGGACGGTGTTATTATAAACTTGGCCGGACTTCTCGCCGGAACTGCGACGAATCCGTTTGGCGATGGGTTTTATCAGGGGCCGAAGGAAGCTCCGTTGGAGGCGGCGTCGGCCTGCACCGGAATATTCGGGAAAGGTGCTTTTCCGGGATATCCCGGGGAGGTTCTGGTGGATGCTGGCAGCGGAGGGAGTTATAATGCGGTCGGTGGCAATGGACGGAAGTTTCTGCTTCCGGCGTTGGTTGATCCGATCACTTCCGTTTGTTCTACTCTGGTTTGAGGACTTGGAACGGGAGAATATGAAGAGATTAAACGACGACGTATTTGGTGTTGTACGGATTGAAATGATTTATTTATTTATACTTTATTTTTCTTTTTATAAATATAATTCACAAATAAAGAAGGTTATAATAAATATGTATTTTTATTTTTCTGATTATTTTGTGTGAATGGAAAATATTGCTTTTGATTTTTAAGTCCCATGTTGGGTGATTTTATATATTTTTAATTTAAAATCAATTATTTCTAATTAAGATGAAATTAGTTTAAACTAAATTAATCGAAATAGAAATATTAAGGTTAAAATTTAGATAAAAATTAGGTTTTAGAAAGAAAAAAGAATTTATTAGAGAGATATAACAATAGAAAAAAAAAAAGCAATAAAAGACAAATATTTTTAAAACATAAAATATAAAATTATAATTATTTAATATCTTTACATATATATATATATATTTATTTATTTATTTATATTAGAGAAGTCATATTTATAAGAAAATAGGTAAAAAAAAAAAAATTAAAACAAACTTTTAAATTTATATAGGCTTATTTTTAAATTTTTTAATTTTGATGTTTAAATTTTTAAATTTTTTATTTTGTGGGTAGTAAATTATTGGATATTTTTTAAACATAATTTTTTTAAAATTTATTGTTTTATTCGATGCAAAATTAAAATTTAAAATATATTAAATTTACGAATGATAAATTAGTTAATTTTAAAAAATTTAAATATGTCACTATTGTATTAAAAAAAATTAGGGAGTTAATTTTTTTTAAAAAAAAAAAAAAAATTATAGCGAATTACACGTTAAGGCTTCCCGCTACCGCCAGAGCTATATGGCGCCGTGTTCAAGGACCCGGCGGAGAATTCCAATTTTCCAGCGTCCTCCGTCGCCTGAAACTCTAGTTTTCATCCTTTCTAAGAAAATTCTCTCGCGGAATTTCGTCGAAATAATGGATTCCGATGACTTGAAATCTCCAGAATTCCTAAATCCTTCGCCCATTTTCCGGCCGCCAACCCATCGTCCTACTCCGGTGGCTAGCATTCCGGCCAACAACCGTTCGAGTCAATCCATAATTCTCTCTTCGGTCCCTCAGCCCCGAAGAGTCTCCGTCGTTCCTCCCCATTACCATTTTCAAGCCCCCTACAAAAGAATCCATTCTCCCGACGATATAGCCACTTCCACGATTCCGATTCCGGAAGAAATTTCCTAGGTTTCATTGTCGCTCTTTCCGAATCCGCTCGATGCCGGAAAATTTCCGATCCTTGTTTCCAATCCGACAATGTTAATTCCATCGTCTCGATTCTTGATACTCTGATTCAATGGGTCGATGAAATACCACCGGCGCATATGGAAACCTCTCGTATCGAACATGGCATGCGCGGATTGTGGGAAACAGCGATTCTTTTTATGTTTCGATTTCTCCACGAGAATCTCCAGTCAGCTGCCATAGAAATTGTGCCCTATTTCACCGACCGCTTCGGGAAATCGAGCCGAATCGATTATGGCACTGGCCACGAGACGAATTTCGCGGCCTGGTTGTATTGCTTGGCAAAATTGGGGGTAATCAAGGAGGAGGATTACCCGGCTGTGTTAATGAGGAAATGGCAGCTGGTTTATTGTTTGGAGCCTGCGGGTTCCCATGGTGTTTGGGGTCTCGATGACTACCATTTCCTGGCGTTCGTTTTAGTTGATAGACCATAAGTATCTGAAACCCAACTCCATTCACAGTCAGGATAGAGTTCCCATTATGCAGCACTTTCTCTTTGGATGGCTCATCAAATGGTCTGTATAGTATCAGTTAAATGTTTACATTTGTTGCAAATTTGTGTTCTTCATATATTCCTTAGGATACACAATGTTTGTTTTGTGAAGTTTTTGCTGAATTTTTTATGTTGTTTCTAAAGGCTGGATAGTTAATGAGTTCTATTTCATTAGATCAAATACAAGCTCAATGCTCTGGCTTGCAAGTTATTCATTGTTGTTCTTCATAAAGAATAATGTTTATGTTTATAACTAGTAAATCTTCACCGGCCTGAGAGTAAAGAGACTGGTATTGGCTTTGTTTTCATGGGAATGGGATTGAACATTTGTTCTGCTTCAAATTCTAGATTTCTATGTCATCATGTTCTGTAGATGGGATTATATGTCTCTAAACACTTCAGGAATCCTTTGAACTTTCTTGTAGTAATGAGTTTGGGGGCCAAAAGACCCCTACTGCTGGTCGACAATGAAGCGATGGGTGCATGCATCACTTCTAGCCCGGATTATGACTTAAAGGCATTCAGTCATAATCCAGCGCACGGTAGCTTCGTGCCGCTGGCTTTTTAACCAAGCGCGATGACTAATTGTGCAAATCAATGATTCCTCTCATACTGGGTTGAATTACTATTGCGGTTCTAATTAGTTTAATGAGTTAGTTCAACTCTGTTTCTCATTAGTTAGAATCGAGTTGTTACTAACTCGAGATCTATCCAGCTATTTATGTGTTTGCAGGCTTGTTTCGTAGAGATATCTTAAACAATATTTGAAGACCCATAATCTTGTTATTTTCCCTTCTCATGCTACCACACTTTCTATTCTAGGAAGTGGGTAGAGTATAGAATTGGCTCTTTGCTTGTAGAAAAGTGTTAACGCCAAAGGTATAGATAGAAGAGAACTGTTGATGATGATGAAATGACATTTGGAATTTGGATTGCCAAACATCATTCATAGCCAAGCTCCTCTTGTCTCTTTCCTTTTGACGTTGCATGTCCATGACATCTCCATATAGGATTTAAGATACAGCATCTAAGTGCTTGTCATGATTGGTTAACGACACACTCATTTTACACAAGAAGATTCGTTTACTGAAATTACCTTCACTTTTTCTTCCCTTGCAGGAACTGGATGGAAGAGCTCGGTTAATCTGTAAGGGAATCTTGTCTGATGAATGTATGAATTTGCTTCTTATTACGGACTTTGGTTAAGAAAAAAGCACTTTTCCCTCCCCTGTTTTGCTTCTTTGGTGGGCTTTGTTTCAGAATTAGGCCCAATCAAGGAGAGGAAGGGATCCATGGATTCACGAGTCGAGTAATATTATTTTATAGGCGTCGTATAAAGTGTCACGTCGCTTGGCTCAGGAAAATAATGGAATAAAAAGGACCTGCCTTGTCTGCTTCCTCTCCTTCTTTCTTTCTAATTAAAGTAGAGAGAAGAAAACCAAACGGAGGGTTTATAACACTGCTTCAGAGGGAAATAAAAGGCGGAGAAGAATGGGGTGTGGGTGAGGCTGATGAATGGTGATAAGGCTGTGGGGGCTGTGATTAATAACAGAGGCAATAACATCGACCATTGGACTAAATTTGTTGATTTGGGTACCTGAAATTTTGTACCAAGTTTCAATATTTGAAGCAAATTTTCACTATTTATGCCTTTTGTCATAGACTCCATCTTCTTATGGTTACCTTTTTACCCATTTCTTTTTCTCCCAAACTTTATCTTCTGCAGTTGGCTCATTCAATAATTGATATCTCAATAAATTCCCTTCCACTTATATCTTAGCTTTTTGGTAAATGACTTCTTTTTTGTGTTTTTTTTTAAATGATTATTTACAGGGCAGGATTACGCGTCATTGGAACAGAAACGAGGACCAATTTTGGAGTCAAGTGTTGGTAAAGAGGAAAGGAAAAAAAGGGTACTGTTTCCTTCTTGCTTTCCTTTTCCCCAAGTTTTGGTTGAATTAAGTCAATAGGGTAACCCGGAAGATTTGAACTTTCAAATTACCCAGCGTTGAAAAGAAGAGCTCTGGCATTAATTTTCACGTTTCACTGCCTTTTCCCGTTCCACCTCCTCCTTCCCCAATCCTTGACACCGACACCTGTAGGTGCCATTAGTTGGAACTTGTAACTTGAAACTTCATCCTCCGTTGCTTTCTCCTTCCTCCTCCTCTCGCTCGGAGAAGGTATTTATTTACTGCCTCAGTCACCTCAGTAATAAAAAAATTCTCAGAAGGAAAAGGAAAGTAAAGTTTTTGTTTTTGTTTTTGTTTTCTGATACCGATGCCGTGCCAGTAAATTTCAAACATCACGTTTGCTTATTTGTTGTTATTATTACAATTCTTACTAACATCTCTGATCGAATGAAAAGGAAATGAAAAACTAAAATAACAGTTGTGTCATTCTACGCTAGTCTTGCGTCTTCCTCACATCTATGCAAACACACACACACACACTTATCCCGTTTGAGCATCTTTTTTTTTAACCTCATTTCATAACATTGCGTCTCTTTCTCTCTTACACTCATTGGGTTTTCACTTTTTTGAAATTTTTGTTTCTCTGCTGCTTCCTTGCCTGCATTCAAGCTCTTGTTAGGTGGGTAGATAGCTCTCTCTCTCTCTCTCTCTCTCAATCTCCCCTTTCTCTTCCCTCTCTTGCTTTTGCTTTGTTTTGTTCTTCTCTCGGCTGAATGAACCGGTGAGCTTTCTTTTCCTTTTTGGTTTTGCATCTTCGTTCCTTCCCTCAATCGATTTCAATAGGAGGAAAAGATTAGTTTTTCCTTTTACAAATTTAACATCACCCACTTAGCTACATGGGTTTTGTGTTCTTCTGTCCATTTTGTCTCTCATTCCATGGAGCTTCACATTTGCTGAGTGGTTTAGTCATCTATTTCTCTGTTTTGCCCGAGGTCATCTAACTAACTTCTGGGTTTTCATCCACTAACAACTTCGTTTTTTTGTACGTCTTTTCTCTTCATTTGTGATGCTTTGTATTTTACTTCTAAACATTTGGCTTTTTATCAGTATTTTTAGTTTGGAACTTATTGATCTGTATGTATGCTTGCCCTTGTCTTCACATAAAGTGTTAGGGGATTTGTGTGTAATTTGGATCTCAAACTATGTCCTCTTCTCCACGGCGATTTCTGAAGTTCTCGAGATGTTTGTTTGATGTTGTATGATTCGGTTTTGAGTGTGCAACTTGCTCTCTGGTTTACCCCAAATGTTTGACATATGGAATGTTTTTCTATCTTCAGGCAGCGATGAACTGTGTAATTGACTTTTCATGTCTCATCTTTTCAAGCAGACTAGAGATGACAGAGGGAAGCGATTTCAGGCACTGGGACGAGCTAATACCGGACGCTCTGGGGCTAATTTTCAGTAAACTCCCACTACAAGAGATACTTACCGTTATCCCCAGAGTCTGCAAATCATGGGCTAAAGCAGTGCTTGGACCTTACTGTTGGCAAGAGATTGACATTGAAGAATGGAGTAGCCGATGCCAGCCCGACAATGTCGATCGAATGCTTCAAATGCTTGTCAATCGAAGTGGCGGTTCGCTTCGCAAGCTCTGCGTTACTGGCCTCCATAACAGCAACATTTTCTCCTTCATCGCTGATCAGTAAGATATAAACATTCCCCTCTTCCCTGAAACTTATTTTTCTGGATGTCGGTGACATTGATTTTTACTGCCTTTCTTCTAAAATGAACATATACTGGCTTTGAACAAGATTGCTATGGTTGGTGCTAACTGGATTTGTTGGTATTAAATGGAGTATTTTGTGATGTTGGTGTTTTGTTTTGTATTGGTTTTTCAAGTGCTGGCTCTCTCCAGACATTGCGGCTGCCAAGGAGCAATATAAGCGATGCTCTAGTAGAACAGATTGCTGGAAGGCTTTCTGCAGTTACTTTTTTGGATCTAAGCTATTGTGATAAAATCAGTGCTAGTAGTTTAGAGTCTATAGGAAAGAATTGCAAAGCTCTGGTTGGAATCTGTCGAAACTTGCATCCGCTGCATACAGCAGGTATGCCGTTGCTGGACGATGAAGCGTACGCCATTGCAGCCACAATGCCAAAACTGGAGCACCTTGAAATGGCCTATCACCCTCTTAGCACTAAAAGTGTGATGACGATACTGTCGAGCTGCCCCAATCTCGAATTCCTCGATTTGAGAGGCTGTTGGGATGTAAGGCTGGAAGACAAGTTTGTGGCTGAGAAGTTCCCAAAACTAAGAGTGTTGGGGCCTCTGGTTAGAGACTACTACGAGCGAAACGAATGGGATGAATGCTCAGACTACTCATACATCTCTGACGACTTGGCTTGGGACTTCTCTGCAGATTACTTCGACGACGATGCCGAGAGTTACGACGATCCATGGGACGACGAAGACAGGCTAGAAGGACTCGAGTTGAGATTCTATGAAGGAATAGATGAAGTTGGTGGAGGCTTTGGTTGGCCTCCCTCCCCTTGACTAGTAAGTGATGTTGTTTTTTTGGGTTTGTCAAATTGTTGCTCTCTCTGTGCTTTGTTTCTTAGCTTCCTACTTGGTATCAACTCGATGCTTTTGGGACTTAGTGGATTTGTAAATTCTCTAATACAAAATTTAAGGTATTTTAGTTCAATCCGTAAGTCTTGATGAGTTCTAAGCTCGTGAGTTTGCCATATGCCCGCCTGCCCGCCCGCCCCCATCAAATGTAGAAGTATTTGTTCCTGTTGGACCATTGAATCGGTTCAAACCGTTTGCTTAAGGAATAGAGGTTTTTGATGTAGTTGCGCACGTTTTTCAATGAAATTTGTCAGGTTGCACTAAGTTGCGGATGTATGCAAGTAGTTCGGGAATACATTGGGTACACCCTACACACAAGTAGCACCCGAGCGTGAATGAGATGACACGTGAACTATGACATTGAAGATTTAAGGTATTAAGTTAAATCTGAGCTTGCCAGGTTGTTCAATGTGTAAATTTTGATGAGTTCTAAGCTTGTGAGTCTGCCATATGCCTGCCTGCCTCCCAGCCCGCCCCCATCAACCATAGAAGGAACAAGTATTTGTTCCTGTTTGACCATTGAATCTATTCAAACCATTTGCTTTTGATGTAGTTGCACACGTTTTTCTTGCCAAGTTGCATTAAGTTACTTACAGATGTATGCATATAGTTCGGGAATATATTGGGTACACCCTACACACAAGTAGCACCCGAGCGTGAATGAGATGAGATGTGAACTATGACAATGAAGATTACCTAGTAGAATAATTGTAGCATCAAATTTATTTACAAATATATATAATTATAAAAAAAAAATGAATAAATGTGGATGTGTGTGTTTGTAAGTTTGTGGATTTGTTTTTGGTAGGATTAGGGAATTATAATAATGAATTAAAAGGGAGTCACGTGATGACACGTGAGAGCGGTCCCTCGGTAGTGGAGTTTGCACGTGTTCAACTTGAGATTTCCCTGCTCTTCTCCAATCTTCATTTTTAGCATTTTATGCCAATTTTATATTTAATTTCGAGATTTTGAATTTTCATCCATTTTACAATTAAAAAGAGGACCGTAAATTATACCCTTACTGAAAAGTGGGCCGGGTAAGTGGGCCGATATGGGCCCAATAGCCTAAACAAATGACAACATTTTAGCCCATATAAGGCCCAAAATAAAAAGAAGGAAAAGGAAAGGAAGAAGAACCCGTGCGTGCCAGCTGTTTAGTACATGTCAGGCTGTCAATCCGAAGATTTCTAAATATAAAAATAAATAAATAAATAGAAAAGCTGTCGAAACAGAAAACGCACAGTTTTGAACATCGTCTCTGAACCATCCGTCTCAATCCAACGGCTCAGATTTAATCTCTCTCTCCACTCTGGTCTTCGTCCTCAACGCAATTATCGCTCCTCTCTCTCTCTCTCTCTCGCGCGCGGAGAGAAAAAGAAAAGAAAGAACACAGAAAGAAGGGAAAGAAAAATTATCGAACCCCCAAATTCTCCAGCTCCTTCGGTTTCTTCTCCCTCTATTTCGAATCCTGCTCTCTCAGATTCTTCAGATCTAAGCGTTCCTCCTCGTTTCTGTAATGGCGGTCGCCTCTTCCCCTCGTGAGAAGTATGTTTACATGGCCAAGCTCGCCGAGCAGGCCGAGCGCTACGAGGAGATGGTTGAGTTTATGGAGAAGGTCTCGGCCGCCATAGAAAACGAGGAGCTTACCGTCGAGGAGCGGAATCTTCTCTCTGTTGCTTACAAGAATGTTATTGGAGCTCGTAGAGCTTCCTGGAGGATCATTTCTTCCATCGAGCAGAAGGAGGAGAGCCGAGGGAACGATGATCATGTTTCCGTGATCAGAGAATACAGATCTAAGATCGAGAGCGAGCTCTCTAACATCTGTGATGGGATCCTCAAGCTTCTTGACTCCCGCCTTATTTCCTCTGCTGCTTCTGGAGATTCCAAGGTGTTTTATCTCAAAATGAAGGGTGATTATCATAGATACCTGGCTGAATTCAAGACCGGAGCAGAACGGAAGGAGGCTGCTGAAAGTACCCTCACTGCTTATAAATCTGCTCAGGTTTGATTCCGTCCCTGTTTTGATGATGCACATATCGAAATCATTCGGTTGGTTAGGGCTCTTGAGATATCTCGTACTTATTCTCTCGTTCTTTCCAAGTGTTATTCGAATGACGTATGATCTTCCATCTCGTCTCCTAGTTTTAATTATCTGATGTTCTACTGTTTACTCAAGATTTCAAATCGGCTTATCAGATTTCCTGCTTATCATTGCCACTCGATTGGCTCTCATCCGTGTGTTTTCTCAGTTGAATATTCCTTGGCATGTAGATCTTTACGTGCTTCATCAAATTTCCTGCGTCAAAGAGAAAATATAGTTTATGCTTGTCTTCTAACTGTTTCGAAATGGATGTCTGCTTTTCGAAGAATCAAATTCGTGAAAGTACACTTGTACAATCTTTCCCCAATTTTCCTTTAGCCGATTCTCTTTTGATTGCTTTTTTTTTTTTTCCTAAGAAATTTGATTTCCTCGCTCTTGAATTCTCACGAGTTGATCTGGGGAGGTGGTTTCAATATGCATACAACTTATTGAATCACAATTTTTATTAAGAGTTATCGAACAATCTAAATCGTAAACAGTTTCTCCATGGATTCTTTTATTTTTGCAGTGAGTTGCCTTTCATTGAGGTTCATAGTCAATAAACGATCGTGATAAAATTAAACCAATTATTGTTCTAATTGGCTGTGTCTCTTACGTCTACAGGATATCGCAAATTCTGAACTTGCTCCTACTCACCCCATACGACTTGGGCTGGCTTTGAACTTTTCAGTGTTCTATTACGAGATTCTGAATTCCCCTGATCGAGCTTGCAGCCTTGCCAAACAGGTTACCCAAACTCGAATATATTGTGTGCCTTTGTTTCTTGTCCTGAAGCTAGTGTCATACAAAACTGAATTTCATATACAAAACTGAACTTGGGCTGGCTTTGAATGAGCCATTTTTTGCTTCTCTTTCAATATTTACCGAAAATTGGGTGTAGCACTGTAAGTGGGTCAATTTGGTACAGATTTTGGCTGATGTTGAAAGGAACCAACCCCCCTTTCAATAGTGTCACACCCAATTTTAGGTAAATATTTGTCGTTTTGTTACAAACTGAACCGACCATACCATGAGAATCAATATAACTGTCTGAATTCAACTATAAAACCAAGGCAAAATGAATCAATACTAACCATCCTAACTGTCCATATCTGAACAGGTTGAAATATTTTGGATTTTGAATATTATGAAATTGACCTATATTTTCTCATGAAAAGAAATTGAACTATTTTGTTTTGGTCAATTTGCTCAGTGTTTTAATGTTCCTTTTTTTAACTTGTATTCCCTTCCTAGAACTGTATATTTACTGTTCAACAGTCCGAAATGTCACTAGAAGTAGTCTATAAATCATTCCAAATCACTTACCATTGCACTTCTATAGGCTTTTGATGAAGCAATTGCTGAGTTGGATACACTGGGCGAGGAATCATACAAGGACAGCACTTTGATCATGCAACTTCTTCGTGACAACCTCACCCTATGGACTTCAGACATGCAGGTAAACTATATGGTCATATTTCATACGCTAAATCTTTATCGACTATCTGCACCCGTGTTTTGAGTCCGGGGCTTGGCACTTTAAATTTGCTTATGTATAAATCTTTTCAGGATGATGGAGATGAGATTAAAGAAGCAGCTCCCAAGCGCGACGACGAATAATAGAGAGCATATTGATTTGCACGTGCAGGATTCAACTTCTCCTTTACATGTTTTATTCTGGAGAAGTGCTTGTTTGGAAATTTGGCTTTTCTATAATTATCTAGGTATTTCTTAGCCTTGTTATCATCACCACACTCTGGAAAAACGTCCTCGTTTGTCTTTTTTCTTTCATCCTCCTCTTTACCCATCAATTCCATATCTCTGAATTGGCTATTTTTCTCAGAGTTCTATATATTATTAAGCATCATGTAATTTGATCTTAAACTTTACCCCTGTCAAGTATTTATATGCACTCCATATGCCGTCTGATTTGAATCCTGGTGTTCATGATTGTGGCTATTTTCATCACCAATCAATAAGAATAATTTGTTGTCCATGTAGAGATGATAAGCTTCTTTGATATGTCTGTCAAATAGTGGGTGGTCCTGATATTGATGCGTTTTGAAAGCGTCACATGTAGTTGTAAGATTTTGTGTTGATTGGTGAGTTGTGAGCTTAAAGAACTTCCAATTCCAAACAGTGGCTAGCATCCTTCTGCTTTAGTTTTCAGTTTCTGCAGGCCTGCCTTCCTGCCTGCCTTCGGCTTTATGGAGCTATCAATAATAAACCTGTTGGTGGCGGTGTCTGCTGTCACAGGTATGTGTACCAAATTTTTGTCATATTATATTATTTTTATTCTTTGGAATTTTATCGTGATTTCAATACAATATATATATATATATAAATTTGTCCAGCTCTTTTTTGAAGCCTTCACGATGATTTCAGTCATGTTTTCACTGGCTTTTCTTTTTGTTGTTAGTTTCAGGTATACTTGAAACTTTCAAGTGAATCCATTCAAACCCATGAGTTAATTATGAGAATTTTGTTGTTTTTAAAAAAAATGATATTTACTGTTTTTAATTTTTTAAAATATAAAACTGAAGATGAAATTGATTTTAAATATTTAAATGTAACATTGGAGAAATCATTGGGTGTATAGTAAAATAAAATCCAATAGGAGAAAGACCAATGATTGCAAATGTGAGCTTTTTAAGTTCACAAGAAGGGCATTAGGAAACGGCAAAAACCAGCTTTATAGATCTAAACAAACACAAATAAAAGCCTCCTTAACCACTCCTTTTTCTAATTTTGATAAAGCTGAAGAAACCGGACCAACCAGTAAACGGTTTTTGCTTCCTCTTATTTTCCCCTTTACATGCCATGCCATGCCAGGATCTTCAAAACAATATCATTTTTTCAATTTTAAAAGTTGTCAAATATGTCAAAATTTATCATGCGCAAAATCGAACCTATCGAACACAAAATTGAAAATTTAATGACATCAGATATTTTCTCCCCAAAAAAGCACAAATATGAAACAACTTCTCCCTATCCAAGGTTATATATTGTGAGCCGTTGTTGTTACTCTCTTGCTTGCTTATATAACGTCTCTTTCAAAAAATCTCTCTTTCGAAAATCTCTCTGCCCCTGTTTTCTAAAACCTTCTCTTAAACTAAGGCCAGAGGCTCGAGCACACGTCGCTTGGCCGTACCAAGACCAGAAACTCGAGCATATGTCTCTTGGCCGTAGGCGACGTAAGAACGAATTGACTTAGCTCACTTGTCATTGGGAAGTGAGTGCTGCACAATCGCAAGTCTGTTGCCATCAAGAGTACGATTTGTGTGATTGTGACAAGGACAAATTGGATCTGAATTAGAAAGGGGCCCGTATTGGGTTTTATTCGAAAGGTTTCTCAAGTATAGAAGAGTTGATAGATTAGAAGAATCCAAACAAGGGAAGAAGAAAAGGAGGTGAAAAGCAAGTGGGGGAGCGGACATGGGACACAAATACACAACACCAAGACAAAACTGCTGGACTTTGAAATCCTACACTACTCTTCTCTCCTCTTCTCTTCCTACCAAATGCACCACGTGATAGCACGTGACCATCTTTTTTAAATTTCCTATTTGTTTCTTAACCATGTTCTTTGCATTCCCATTGTGTATAACACATTGTTTGGGGCTATGCCTAGAAATGGATATTTGAGTTACAGATCTCTCGATCAAGAATATATGTCTTAAACAGCACATCATAAGGAATGGATATTTGAGCCACAGACCTCTCTCTATTAAGAGCATATGTCCTAAACAACATGTTGGAAGGAATGGATATTTGAGCCACAAACCTCTCTCGATCGAGAGTATATGTCCTAAACAACATGTCGGGAGGAATGAATATTTGAGTCACAGACCTCTCTCTATATATCCTAAACAACACGTCGGAAGAAATGGATATTTGAGCCACAAACCTCTCTCAATCGAGAGTATATATCCTAAACAACACGTTGGAAGGAATGGATATTTGAGCCACATACCTCTCTCGATCGAGAGTTATATGTCCTATATTCCTATATGACCTATGCTCAAGTTGGGTATCATAAGTATCCAGCATGAGCTTGAACTAACTAGCAGCCACCAACAAACCAAACCAAACCATATGAAAACCCAGCAGAATCAAAGCAAATGTGTTGGATGTTTAAGGAACATGATCTTTCTTGTTCTTGTGAGGCAGATAAACAAAAAGGTAGCTTAAGATCAAACAAGTATGTTTCTTATAACAGGAATTCTCAAGAAATGTAACCTATATGACATTTGAATTCTTGCAGTAACCCAGAAAGAACCAAAAACAAAATCAACAGCAGCTACCTAAGATGATGTTGTTCTACGAGATTTACAGAACAAACAAACAAACAAATTCCAGTTTCTGAATCAGTAGTGTGAAATTCATTCCCATTTCACAAACTGATCATCCAATCCAATTACCCTTCATTCATCTCATTCTCAACATGTATACAAAATAATCTAATTAAGTAAAGAACAAACCCTGAGAGCTGTGACAATAACTACAAAGATTAACGAATTTCATATCCGAACTTACCATATGATGGGAAAGAAAGAAGAACTCACAAACCTCTCCATCTTGGATTTGGCACTGGCACTGTGGGTGACAATGGAAGCTGTGGATATCCAAACGGACCCGTCGACGGCGATAGCAGCAAGCTCGGTGATAGCAAAGGGTATGCTGATCTTGGTGAATTCATGCATCCGAATGGAAGAGGTGAAAAGGGCATCGGAAATTGACCCTCAGAGCTCATTACTGCCGATGATGGTGGTGGAGGAGGAATGCCCCCTTGCGCCATGGCCAGCGGTGGAGGCAGTGGCTGTGAGGTTAAATTTTTCCAGCGAGGCGAAACTAGAGGAGCTAGAGGTGAGAATCCCGAGAACTGCTTCTGATTAGAATCTGAAAATGAGTTGTGAAGATATCTCATATATGCTGAAACAGGTGATTCAGCTGGCGCGTGGACGGCCGGTAGTGGAGGGAGAGGCGAAAGCGGCGCAACGGGCCGTCCAATGGGGCCGAAATTGTCGGTTGATGAAATGGAACTTCTAGGGTTCAGGCCAGGCGGTGGTTGTTGCGGCTGTAGCATCGGAGGAGGGCGGTTACTGACGTTTGCTAATGGAGGCGGACGGATTCGCTGCAGACGTGAGCTCTGAGCCTTCGGTGGATGAATAGGCGGCGGATTCGAGAATCGCTCGTGCGCCGGTGAGCCAGTAAGCTTCTGAACCACATCTCGGAAATCGTTCTTATTGATGTTATAAACCGGCGGCTGATGGTGCTGCGGTGGCTGTTGCGACTGAGCCTGCACAGCCGAATCCGGCGGCGGAGGCGGTGGTGGAGGTTGAAGAAGACCCTGATTCTGATTAAAATTAGGATTAGAATGATTAGAAGAATCAAACGCAGGCTTCTTAACAAAACTAGGCTTGGAAATTTTGTGCGAAAGCTTGTTTAAGTGCTTGAGGTATTGATCCTTGCCTGAGGAGACCGTACCGCCGCCATTACTAGCGGCGGAGGAATCTCCCGTCAGAGAAGATTGGCAGCTTTTCTCCATATTTCATACAAAAAAAAAAAACAAAATCCAGATGGCCGGACCCCCTGTTCTTGCTCGAAACAACAGTAGATCTAATCTCTCTTACAGATTACAGAACAGCAGAAATCTCTGCAAATTGAACGCTGTTCTTCCTCTCGCAGTCGGCTGATTGAAGGTGACTCAGAACCAGAACGGAACCCGAAATTTGAAGAATAAAATTATGAATTAAAAAGAAAAAAAAGCAGGTAAAAGATATACTTCAGGCTCCAGAGAGATCGCCCACCTTTACAAACACACTTCTAGAGAGAGAAACAAGAGAGAGAAACAAGAGAGATAAACGCAAAGTGGAGGGTCTTATCTCATAGCCTTCGCCCCCTCCCTCACACCAATAATTCTTTCTTTAAATCATCTCTAATCTAATTTCAAATAATATATTTTTTAAAATATTTAAAATATTTTAAATAAATGAGAAAAACAATATTTTCAGTTTATTTTAAATTTTAAATACCATTTTTGTCCCCCCCTTTATTTCGAGGGTTAATATTTAATAAATTAATATTTTCAGTTTATGTTACAAATTTTAAAGCAAATAATATCTGTTAGCGGTGGATCTGGGTCGTTACATAAAATTTATGTCTAAACCACGTAAAAGTAAAAATTTACGAATTAAAGAAACAATTTAATTTTAAAATTTTATTTATTATACGTATTTTCAACCAATTTAAAAATAGAGAACCAAAAATTATAAATAATAATTTTCTTTTATTATATATATATTAAAATTAGATATATTAAATTTAGAATAAAAATATAATAAAATTTAAAAGATAGAGACAAAATAGTGTTTTTGTTAAACTTTATAGTATTTATTAAAGTATTGGAAATGAAGAATCCTTGTGATTAGATAAGCATGAAGGAATATGCAACGTGTCATATTTTTAATAATTTTTTATATTTAATTTTTATTCGCTTCTTTATCAAAAATAGTTTATGGCTTACTAAAAACATTAACAATTATATTATAAAGTTGGGAATAAGACAAATTTGGCTGTCTAATTAATATTCTTTTTTTTTTTCTCTAAATCTCAATCTTATCTTCATTACTTACATTTGTGACACAATATAATTTCATTCAATATTTTTAATGCTTTAAATTCTTATATTAATTTTATTATTACATTCTTATTTGCCCAATGTCTCATATTAGTTAGTGGGTGGGAACAAACAACACAAATATTTGATTCTTTATTTAAATTAAATTATATTTTATAATTATTTTATTTGTCCGAATCTATTTCCTATCAAATGAATTAAATTGGATTAAATTATTTTATCAGGTTTAACTTAACGAGTGAACGATCCACGTTCACTCGACCTCTGTTTCACTGTGACAAAATATTAGGTCTTT